TTTTTTAATTGTAGAGATGAGGTCTCACCAATTTGCCCAGGCGGGTCTCGAACCCACAGGCTCAGGCGATCCACTCACCTGAGCCTCCCAAAGCACTGGAATTATAGGCTGAGCCACTGAGCCCAGCTTATAAGTTCTGTTTTAAAGTTGTTTAATGAGAAGTTTTATGATTTTATATAAGAGTTTTTAAGTTCATAATTTTAAGGTCTTGTATTAATGGATTGTGGGGACTGTTTTTTTTTTTTAAGTTGGAGTCTCACTCAGTCGCCCAGACTGGAGTGCAGTGGCCGCTCCGGAGATCCTTCCACCTCAGCCTTCCAAGTAACCGGAACTACAGGCATGCGCTACCACACCTGGCTGATTTTTTGATTTATTGTAGAGATGAAGTCTCGCTGCCCAGGCGGGTCTCAAACCCGTGAGCTCAGGCAATCCACTCACCTCAGCCTCCCAAAGGCACAGGATTACAGGCTGAGCCACCAAGCCTGGCTTGTGGGGACTGTTTTTACTTCAAGATAACATCATTGTTTGGAATGGTGTTGTTTTGGGGTGGAGATGGTCTCTGCCCTTAGAACATTAGCCAGGCAAGAAGAAGAATACTTAAACTTAAGCATCGTTTTAACATCACAAGAAATCCATGTAATTTGTTGTAAGTGATTTATTTGTTTTGTAATGATGATTTTAACTTGTTCTGTAACGATAACTTGCAGAAATTATTTCCTTGTAGAGAGGAATATAAGCTCGCTGCTAGCTCCCAATACCTGGCATTTGCTCTCTCAGAACAGTTGTCCAAAATCTGTCTCTCTCTCTCTCTCTCTCTTTTCCCTCAAAGGCTGATGCTGTCTCCACCTTCAGGAATCTCTAGACTCCACTGGAGCTGGACTCCGGCTTTACTTTGGTATTCCCAGTAAATAAATCACTATTTTTGAACAGAAACAAGTGAACATTTTAGTGTCTACTGAACTTCAAAGGAAATTGAGAGCCATGCCCAGTGTGCTCTTTTCTGAGAGTTGTCTAGTTATTTTTAGAATAGCTTTAAAGTATTGTCACATTCCTTACTGGATTTTAAACAGTCACCCATGAAAATATATTTTAATGAAACATTTTATTAGTCATATATAAAATAAATGTACACATGTCTAAATTAAAAGGAATTACTCCACTCAAATGATCTCTGCCAACACTATTTTCTTAAAGCTTTACCTTTTGGTATTATTTGAATGTCACTTATGGAATCAGGTCAGATACATTTTGCATTGTTCCTTAGTTTAAAAAATTGTCTTTGTGTAGAAATAATACAAGTAGGTGAATTCTCTTGAATTTTGCAACTCAGATATAATAGAAATAGAAATTGTCTTAATTTGTTTTGTGCTGCTATAACAAAACACCTGAGACTAGGTAATTCATAAAGAACAGAGATCTGTTTCTTTTTTTTTTTGAGTTGGAGTCTCACTCTGTCACCCACACTGGAGTACAGTGGCCGCTCCTGGCCACTGCAGCCTCGACCTACTGGGC